GCTGGCCAGAATCGAAGAGAACGTCCCACCCCATGAAGCAAAGTATCCTCAGTCACACAGAGGTTTCCAACGCCTGAAGGTTCGCGCCACGAAGTAGAAGCACCAACCCCCCCTCTCTACCTGCGCCAACCTGTGACGCCAGGAGATCAGCACGAAACAGAACAGAAGACCATCGCCTCTCCCTCCTTTCTGTCAACTACAGACGCCACCATCCCCCTTGTAGAGTAGCAGCGCTCAACGTCCGTGTCCCTGTGATGTCACCTCCTTCATTTTCCGCAGCCGCGCACGAGCGCTACTCCACCCGGGAGCGCACCGCCCACTAGCAGCATTCCACCTGGCCGTGTACCGCCCGCTAGCGGCACTCCACCTAGCAGCGCACCGCCCGCTAGCAGCGCTCCACTTGGCACACACATCGGTACACTACCACGTCGCCCGCTCGCCGCGCGCGTTCCTCCATAGCTTGCTTGGCGCCGGTGCTGCTCCCCCGGTAGCGCAGTGACGACGCCATCAGCTTAGGCATCACCGCCCCAAAGGGGGGACACATAGCCTGTATAACCCATCGAAGGCATCAGGATCTTCCTCTGGCTCTTGGTGTAGAAAGGTAAGATTTATGACGAGAGAGGAGAACGAGGGGCTCGTCATAAAGTGGGGGGGATATAGTATCGCCATAACTCTTCCCGAACGTTCTGAGAAGAGGAGACTTTTTCGATCGTCGCGAGGAGCAGAAGAGCTGGAAGGCTGTGATCTTACTATAAACCATACAGGATTGCAAAAGCTGCAATGTGGTTATGTCACCGGTTGTGAGGAGGAAGGCAATGTCTTCAGAGGTACTATGACGCTAGGGAGAGTATACACACATTGCATCTCGGCACGCTAAAAGCATGCTGCTGCTACTGATTGGTCCGCCATGCCAAGCTCTGCCTTGAGCTTCCTTGGTGCAACACTACCCCAACTAGGCCTTCCAGATGCAGCGTCCAACAAGGTGATGAAGATGGTGTCTACCATAGTCAGGTAGGTGCCTCGCCACTCTCCTCCTTCGCTCCCTTCTTCCTCCTCCTCAAGCTGGGCTGCTCGCCATAGCCAGGCTGAGCGCCAGCTGCCCTTCACCTCCAGGCAGCGCTGTACCAGTCCAGCGATGTGCTCCAGCAGCATGTCGCCAATCCTTGCATACCGCAAACGAGGAGGAGCTACTTGCTCCTCCGAAAGATATAGCGGCCTACTGGCCTCCTGGGCAGTGACTTCCTAGGCCGAGCGGCCTCCCAGCAACCGGTACCTCCTCCCTTTCGGAGGGAAACATCATTGCAGGCTCTGCTAACCTCTGGACAGGCCCTAGACCCGGGCTACTTGGACTGGTACCGGCCTACCTCTAGGCTACCGCTACTGGGTCTCTAAAAATGCCAACTTTTTGTCTTCTTCTTCTCGGCCTCCAGTACCCGACACTTCTACCACTACTTCAGTGCTATGAATCCCCCTCAGCGGCGGCCATCCGCGGCCGAATCCGCGGACGCGGCCAGTCCGCTGACCCCGCGGACGCGCGGCTTTGGAGCCACGTGGCGGCCGCGAGGGAGACACTTTCGGAAATCTAGAGACGCCACGTGGCGTCGCATCCCAGGCCCCACCCCACCACACCAAAAAAAACCGAAAAAGATCAACTTTTGGATGGGGGAGTATGGGCGAAATCGGACGAAATTGAAAAAAAGATTGATTGATTGATTGATTGATTGATTGATTAGTTTCGTCGATTTTTTTTTTTTCGTTGATTGATTGATTG